TCGCTTGTAGGTTGGAGGCCATCGCTTGTAGGTTGGAGGCCATCGCTTGTAGGTTGGAGGCCATTGCCATTAGTTGGAGGTTGTTCCTTCATGTTTCATCCATATTCTCTCTTGTGTCCGAACTCTTGCGGAAGTGATCCTTGGCTTAGGTCCTAGGTTCAACGTGTTTTTTTTGCGCACAACGTGTTCCTGTTGAGCCCCAAAACCCATTTCCCCCATCCCCCACAAACTTGGTCCAGGTTTTCCCTACCAATATTCGACCTGTACAGCCTGGGGCCACAAGGATCCATCCAACCTCTTCATTTTTTTGTCGCTCCGCACGAGGCCTATGCCCATCCCTGCTTGGTGGCAGCCTGCCTCACGGCGCCGCTGGGGGTGTTTGACTGGACTTTTGGTGGAGAGGTGTTGCTTTGTTGCGCCGCACAAAGGGATCTAAAAGAAGGATGGAGGTCCAATCAGCTGTAAAATCTTGAGCATCTCAGGACTGGAGGTCAATTGCAGGTAAATTCCCTTCCAAGTCCTTCCAAGAGAGAAAGGGATGCGCTTACATTCTTGTGAAAAGTTTGCGTGGAGAAAGAGCTTGGGAGTTCGCAGTACAGGGTTGAACTCTCAGTCTTGCTACTGCAACCAGCACGTTTTTGGTGTGATGCTTGAACGCTTAGTCTCACACATGAAGGAACTGTTTCACTCTTTTCACAAGATTTTTACCATCTCTCTAGAGAGTCTGAGGTTCAATACCGTTGTAGGTCGGTGTGGAATGAAGCTTGACATATCTGACAGAACATTTGGGTTGGTTCAGTGCTTGCTGAGTCAAGGGCGGTTGGTTTCGGGTTTGCTCGAGGTCGGCAAAATGTTGACTCAGTCAATTACTTCCATTGAATTTCCGATCGTTGCACTGTCCTGTCTACTTGTGCAATCTCATACTTGTTGTTCCAGGTCATGATCGGGTCATAACGCAAAGGTGGGGGGTCCAAACGTCGAGAAAGAGGTGATCCTTGAAAAGCGGACCTCTTGGCTGTTGGCCTGTTGGCCCTTTGGACGTTTCTACTGTGCGCAGGGATGGCCAGCACTCCAGTGCCTCAGCTTCTGCTGCTCCTTCCTCTTTGGTGAGGCGCGACTGTGCGAGGGAAGGTGCCAGGCTAAAGAAACCTGGGGAGCAAAAGGTTTGAATTTGGTTGAAGGGAAAGTATCCTGCTCCTGCGTCACCTGACGCCTCAGATGTGGCAACATTTGCCGACGATAGAGAGAAAACTTGAGAAATGTTGGAACAAGTGAGGTTCTTCAGTGTTGGGCGCACAAGTCTCGTCGAATCTGAACGGCCCTGGAAGATTCGTAATTCGATGAGTTCCATGGAGGGCTTCCCACGATTCTTCAACCAAGTGGGATCAAGAAATTAGAGTAGGTTCATGTAGTCCTTGGTTGAGTCAACCTCATGATTATTGGTGAATGAATGTGGAATATGTCTTGAACCAGTACCAACATAGTCAAGAATATGGAGCGAGGTTACATTGGCAAGTCAACCTCATCCATTTTCGCCACTCTCGCTTGGCCTTCAGGTGCTCTCCAGCTGGGCCTTCCGCTGTGCCGTGCACCTGATGGGACTCCGCGGAGCGACGGTGCAGCGACCGCCCGTGGCAGTGGCGGCAGGCGGTTGGAGTTGTTGGAGGAGACTGAGGACACCCACATCAGAGGGTGAAAATGGCGGGCTTCAAAACAGCTTCACCATGGACCATGGACACAAAAAAGAATCAATAAGGATGGATGCTGCACTGACGACTAAGATTGTCAAATCTTGAAGTTTTGTGCCTGTTCAGAGCTCCAGTTCCCACCAAAATAGGAGGAGATGTTGTCAATGATGGTTTGTCAACGAAGCAAACAGTGTAGAGATGCGCGATCGTTCATCATCGCCCCCTTTTTTAAAGCTATTAGTTTGCAAGCGATCCTTTGGTGGGAGCACCAGGATGAACCAGTACCACCGGGCAGCCCCGTACTGTTCTTTTCTTTTTCAGGCGAAGAGGCCCAGTTGGCGGGCAACACTTGGCACCTCGGCACCTCGGCGCCTCACCGGGTGGGACGCGATGCTTCGGACGTGGAGATCTTGCATTCGGACGTTCGGACCGGTGGAAGCAGACCCGATGGTACCCCCAACAAACAGGTGTGGTGAAGTGAAGCTGCAACGCGTGTTGAGCAAACTATGTGCAACTTGGTTCTTGTTGAGGGTTGCTTTCGCACCCGCACCTTCTCGCAGGAAGGCCTTGCTTTTCTGCAGAACATTTCGAGACGGTTTCTTCAAACAAAGCCACGGGCTAAAGTAACTGGAACTAACAGGCATTTGTCATCCACGGAGTCTTAGCCCCATCCGCGGAGTACGGCCCAGCGCGCGCAATGCCAAGATCTGTCTCCTGAGCTTGTTGCTTTGAGGTTTGCTGGGCTTCGCCCGGGCCCCATGCCATGCTCCGGCGTGTTGTTTGCGACGAGGTGCGAGGTTACAGCTCCTCCTGAGAAGGAAAGGCTAAGCGGCTAACGCCCAGCAGAAAACTCCAGCTACTCAACTGTTTGGCGTTTTGATGATTGTGGATGTTCACAGTCAGAGTTCATTTGCCTCACCTGACATGAGGCTGCCAGCGTTCCTCCAGCTGCAGTGATTTCAGCTGCTTGGACATGACGAGATCGAGAAGAGAAAGAAAGCTGTCCTGCGTCGTCCGCCTGTCCCGGGATCAACGGGCCCGGCCGGGTGGCCGTGCCAGGGTGGAAGGTGGTGTGGGGCCAACATGTTTGTTAGGGAAGGGTTGTAAAAGTTCAAACAGAATGAATCATCCCCTGCTCGACTTGAATGCCACTCCAGCACCTTGTCCTTCTCCAAGCTGCCTGGCCAGCTGTTTTGCAATGACGTGGGAACCATCAGTGCTGGTAGAACCTCCTTCAGATTGAAGACTCAACCATCCCAACCAACACTTTACCCGAAACCAACGCTCACTCTCACTTTTGCAAGTTGGGCCAACCCTTTGACGTCTTTGGTGAGACGGTTCGTTACCAACTCGGGAAACTCGCTAAAACCATTGTATCCAAGCGAAAGGAAGGGGAACTTGATCTACTTGGGCAACATGGCAATGAATCAGTGACATACAAATGCTAAGTAGCTATTGCGAAACAGCCAGCACCCGATCCTTGGAGGAGCAGTCGTCTACACAACTGTTTGCCTCTTCTGTTTGCGAGCACGACTAATGGCCCGAGAAAACCAACTCGGCGAACCCCCACACCTTCTTGAATTTTGCCTTCAATTAAGCCAGAGTCCGGTGATCGCTACTCAAAGATGTTCAACAAGAACGGTTGAAGAAGTAGAGGTTCAACAAATGTCCAGAGGCTCTGACTGATCAAGGTACGGTGATTCCTGTTGCCAAGTGCGTCGACCCACTTGATCGTGAAAATGAGATATCTCCCAAGCTTTACCGACTTTCAGTCAGTGGAGGCAAGGAAGCCTCATGTGTCCCCTTGTTTCGTTCAAGGAGACTCCTATCTCCATGAAGAAACCTACAGGCTTTATGTCTTCAACAAACCCTATGTAGAAGAAGAGAGGGCCCTCCTGTGGGGGAAGAACCAAAAAACTCGAGGATCTCTAAATTTGCGACTCATTACTTGTGATTGTGGCACAATCTTGGAGTAGATTTCGATGTTTGGATACATGCTCGATCTCAAAAACCAAAGGATGCAAATATAATTTTGGAACAGCCAGATCACAAGGTCCAGAGTTTAGAGATTGTGGTTGCTGCCTTCTCCTCAAAAAAACATGTGGAAGCGATTTACACAGAGTGGAGGGAGTGCAGTTTTGCAAGCCACTACGACTTGATAAACTCTGATGTGCCCACTGACGTGGGGACACTTAGTGCGCCGTGCTGTGGAACACCAAGCGGAACTTGTGAGTTGTTCGGAAGCAAAGTCCAAACGGTAAAACTCTGAGATTGCCGCAGATTGCCTAATGTTTGAGACACCCCCCATGCC